ATCACATTCTTGAATGTGAATATGAAAATTCCACACAAATTTTATAAATTTAACTACCACACTGATTTTTCTGTGAAAACTACAGGCGCGTAATAATTATTTTTCTCATATTCTACGAATTAACATATGTATTGCACACATTAATGCTTTTATTATATTCTTGATTGCAAAGGTAAAAATTGCAAGCAAATTTATTTTACTTTTACTCTGATTATTTTTTCAAAAGGTACAAATATACATCTGTTATTTCCCTTAAATGAAACCTGCGAATTAATATACAATGCATAGCCCACTTTAAGATTTTTATTATATTCTTTGGCGTGAATATGAAAATTGCAAATAAATTAATTTTATAACCGTAATGGTTTTTCTTCGTAAAATATACTTATCTACAATTTTTATAATTTTCCTTAAATATATTATTCGAATAATATACTATGTATTACGCATAATATTTTCATTATATCCTTAAATGATAAATTGAAATTTTTGAATAAATTTGTTTTAGAATTACAAATTTTTTATTTGTACATTTTTTGCATCTAAAGAATTTATTCTATTTCTAAAATGAAAATGAAAATAAATTCCTGAGTAACATTCCACTCTTTTTTGTTTTTATTTCGATTATGAAAATTATAAACAAATTCATTTTGCTATTCTACTATGCTTTATTTTTGTAAATGCGTTATACGTAAAATATTTATTTTCATCCCTAAATTGGTGATGCGAATTAATTCATATAAAGTCATGATTATTACATTCTCATTTGTGTATATCAAAATAACGAACAAATAGATTTTGCTACCACAAATACATATTTGTTAATGGGGAAGTTTTTAACATTTACAATAAGTTTGGTCACAGAAAAAGATTGCTAGTTTGTCTCGTATTGCAAAATTATGGTTTTTTAAAACTCAGTTTTAACACAATTTTTGTAAATATTCACTAGTACTTTTAAACTAAAGTATTAATAAATATTAAAATGTATTACAACTGGAGAACAATGGTTATTATATTTCAAATATTTTTTCTCTAATTCCAGCTAAATTTGTTTCAATAATTTACTCGAGTTGATGAAATTGCGCAAAAAATTAAATTTTGAGAGTCTGCTATTTTGAAAACAGGTTGCTATAAAAAAACTTTCCACCATTATAGTTTATTTAAATACTGGACATTTAACTACGCATAATTAGTATAGCTTTTCTGCATTATGACATAACTATATAATACTTATTTTATGAAAAAGCTCATTTGAAATAAATATCAATTTAATAACAAAGCAGATCACGATAATTTTTATCATCTTTCATATTATTGATTATATTTATTATTTCCGCAATTTTATCTTCTTTAAAATGAAATTGTGATGCAAGATTCTGAGCTAATTTGTTATTTAATTTAGCCTCAAATCATTGTCTAATCAATTAATCAATTCAGGGTCAAATTTTATTTTGTCATAAATTTTGTAAGCATAGTTTAGACAAAGGGTTTTAGTTAGGGGAATAAACTGAAATTAAAAAAAAATCCAGCTTTATTAGAAAGCTGAAATAGATCATAGGCACGAAGAAAAAAAATAAAACATTCAAAAGTAATTGAAATTTAAAATAATGGCACAATGGCTTACATAGAAAAAGAACAGCCTATGGATAGGTCAATTAAATAAAATTATCCTGAAAATCGTCAAATGGTTTTGTTTTAATTTTAAAGTTTTGTAAATATTAGACCCATATTAGACCTATGAAATATTAGACTTTGTAAATATTAGACCTATAAAACCCATATCTAAACATCAATGTTATAATTACGACATGTAAAAAAGATGTTGAGAAAATAAAATTTAGTACCATTGGCTCTACAGTGGATACGGGCATAAATTAAATAATTACCTAATTTATATTTAATTACTACTGATATGCTTTTAATAAACGCGGTACAGCAACATACAACAAGAAAAAGCTGCAGGGTGTTAGGCAGGATAAGATTTATTTTGTGCAGGGTCACCAGCCAACTCATTGCGAGTCATTGAAAGCAACTAGGGAAAAATCTTCTTCTGCCTTTATGCACTGATTCGCAAATCGATCAGATTATGATACAATTTACCATGTTTCTGGCTCAATGGAAACACAAAAAAGCTCCGTAATTATTTCAGTAAAATAGATAGTAAAATATCGTTTTGTAATCTGCGTTAAAACTTGGTAATTTTATCGTGATACCTTAGAAAATTACATTAAAAACCATTTATTCGGTTAAATTTACCTTTCAGTTTGGTATTTTTACTAATTGTGTGGTAATAGGAACTGTAATTTTGAAAAACAGAATTTCCGGTAAGACTTTACCATATATAAATGAAAAAAATTACCAATTGAATTGCTTAACTATCGCATATTTCAGTTTTTATTACCTCAGTTATTATTATTTTTTACCAGAAATTTCGTAACCATGCATAACGGTAATTTAACAGAGTTTTTTCCTTTGCGTGTTTTTGTGGTGATCAAATCAAAAATTTAATTTTATGCGATAATTTTGACGTTTTATCGAAATGCATATCTACAAGTCTTTGCACACATTTTTTCAATAAGTAAATAAATATATAGTTTTAAATTTCGTTGCAACTATTAGGTTTGATTTTTATCTTTTTGGTATATAATTAAAAAGTTCATATTGAATGAGTCTTAATTTTTCTCGTAAATTTTTACCTAAATAGAATACTTATACGCATTTTAATACAGTTAAGTGAATTCGGTAATAATATAAACTAGTACCGTGCATAAGGCATAAGTTTTCTTTTGTTCGCATTTTTCTATTATACTTGTTCAAATTATATTTGTTTCGATTAACTTGTCTCTCCAACACATTTCAATTATACTATTTAAATTATAGTAGTTAAAAATTTAGTAATTTAAACTAAATTGTAGAGTCAAATAAATGTAAAAATAAAAAGAAAGAAGACAAAGAAAAATTAAATAATGACTGTAAAATTAAAGATTGACTGAAAGCTTCCTACAATAAAACAAAATACGAAGAGCATGCAACTTTTGAAAATGGCGAAAGTGTTAAAAATTCCATTGTATTAAAAAATAAACTCTAATGACAAGAAATACAGATTAAAGTGCTCATAAATGACAACTCAGAAGTCCTAGAACCTCACAAAGTGGTAACAAAATAACAATAAAAATAACCAAAATTTGTTTAATTTTTTAAGCATTTATAAACTTTACAGCACGATATGCTCTTCTTGTATATTTCCTTAAATTTATTACATAAATAGTGGTCAAAATCATTGTAACAAATTTTATTCAACTGCAATGTGCTTTTTTATAATTTTTACTTTATCTGTGCCTTTCAATGTATGCATTGTACATAGATTTTTTTATATGTGTGTGCCACGTAATTTTATTAGCAAAGAATCTCCCCTTGCAACCCAAAACTTTGGTGCCTTTCTATTGAAGTGATTCAAGTGTCTGTATACAAAATAGTTTCTTTTCATGACGAAAGGTTAAAAAATCAAACTAAAATACTATCAATAAAAGTTATATATGCCGATCATAATTCATAAAAAATTGCATTTTAAATACTAGAATCAAAACGAAACATTTTTATTTGAAATTAGCTTCGTTTCTAGACATCAATCATCAAAATAAATAGTTTTCCATAAAAATCTATATAATAATTCATATAACTCGTTTTCATGTAAATTGATGCTATGATTAAAAATTTAAGAGATAAATATTTAAGTTAGATTTCAAAAAAGTTTACAATTTCAATCCTAATTTTAACCAATATTGGTAATAAGCACATTTTAAAAATAACTTGCATTTTGTAGTAACATACAATTTTATTTTCATGACTACAATTTGTATTGATATTAACATTCAGAAAACATTGCTAGATAGATAATCTGCATATATTTTTATCTAACACGGCGTTTCTGGATACAAATAATTTACTCTGTTTTAGTTTCTCTGATACCATATCAAGAATCACTATTGAAAATTGTAAAAAAGTGATATTTGATTTGTTTTGCAAAAAAGTTGTTTCCTTATACCGTAATTTCTAACTTGGAGTGAATGATTAGTAACAATGAATAACTAATTTCTAACATTGCTCCTGATTCCTTAAAAAATAAATACTTTTGTTTACCAAATTATTCATAAGTATTATACATATTATGCATGCATTATAAAGGATATGAAGGAATTTTCAATAACCATTTTTCTTAAATCTTAGTGTCATTGTTAAAAGAAAGTATTTGTGAAGAAAATGAAATGTGCATTAGATGTTGTGTACACAATTTTCAAATGAATTCTGTGGTGGTATATTTTCATTTTTTAAAAGGTTCATTAATTTCATTTTAAAAAAATAAAAGCTCAAATTAATTTAAAAAACATTTTTATTCTTATAATTAGTTTTAAAGCAATCGTAATATTTGAAGCATTTATATAATTTTATTTATTTAAAATAGTTTTTACTTAGCAACTTTCTTTTTACTTTAAATCATTTATCAAATTTTTAGGAAAGTTTTAATAATTTACATCATTTAAAGTAAATTACAAAATACTTTCCTCATTCATACCATTTACACTGCTAGTCTTAATATTTAAACATTTTAGCAGTTTGTTACAGTTTTTAAAACTTTCGTTTAACTTAATATTGTTTTTAAAACATTTTCCTGTAATTCTTATAGTTTTAAAGCAGTTTTGTCACTTGTAATTGTTTTACTTTAAATATTTTTCTCCTTAATTTCCTTTTTTTTTAAAAAATCATAGCTTGAAGCTTTTTAAATGTTTTGTACCTTTTTAGATCTTTAAAGCAATTCCAAAAATCGATTTGTTCTAAAACTTATCTTAACTTTCGTTTATTTTGACTCTAATTTGTTAAAGTTTACCGTCTTTTATCTAATAGTTTTTTGATTAAACTTTAAGCACAAAAAATGAAGCGCTTTTGACAAAAAATTAAATATCATTTCATAATTCTAAAAATCATATTAAGATATCTCTTACCGTTTGATTCTGTGATACCGTACCAGGCATCCCTGAGAAAGGAAAGGAATCTTCGAAAACAATTGCGGTGAGTTTTCTTGGACGAATCATATGAGGGCTGCTCAGTTGATACTTGGGGAGTAAAAGTTTTTGGTCTAACTCGGGAACGTGCCCCGGAGTGTTGTGAAACTACACCATACATTATATGGGATTCTACTTAAAACATCCTTGAAAAATAATTTTTGTCACATTGATATGAATGGAAGGGATATGTTCATGCAGAAGGCTGAGATTGAAGAAAAATTAAAGGAATTGAAATGAGAAACATAGAAAGATTTTATAGTAAATGCGCGAAGAAATTATCCTGGAAAAATTCAACTTTGGATGCTAAAGGCAAATATTTTTATTACTTTGATGTTAAATATATTTTGGAGCACATAATGCTCTTCTTATGGAGGTGCTGGCCAATTTTTAACAAGTGAACCGATGGCAACAGATATGTAGTATATTGACATTATAATTTCTATGCTAGACATCTTTTAGTTAAAAACATCATTTTCAATGGAAATTACTTTTCATAAGGAAATCTAATATCATCAGGAAGTTTGCATTTCAGGCACGGAAAAAAGCTCTGAAAATAACGACATTTAATAAATGGAAATTATCACAGAAAATTCGGAAAAGAAGTAAGTTTCGAAAAAATTCCGCGAACTTTGAATAAGACATGATAATATTCCTTTTAAGATCTTAAAACACAACTTAAATACATTTATATTTTGTTGTGGTTGACAGCTATCTTTGGAATAATAAAGAGACTACATTTATCACAGATATAATTGGACAATTAACAGTAAGTTTTAGTTACAGGTGGTCATATTTTTTTCTCTTCCTGTAAATGGAAACTCGCCAGACATCGATATAAAATATACTTTCTTTTAACCAATTAAAAGTTGTTGTTTTTTTTTCTACCGCTAAGTTTTATTTGTAAATACGCCGATGTGTTGAGATATTTTTACAATAAGCTTCCATTCTTTATTCTAGAGTGAGATGACATCGTCCCGTTTTGAAGAATTTAGAAATCTATGAAGTTTGTTTGTTGAGTTTACGTGACACATTGTCAGTGTAAGCTCGTAAGAGAGGATCCAGAAGTTTTCGTTTGGCGGGACCTTTTATAAACTGGAACGTGATGTGCCTATGGCAGGAAAAACAAGTTTTTGGCAATCATCACGTGGTCTGATTGTAGATAGTGAAGCGACACGGGATGATTGCATGGCTCGTCATTGGTTTTTCATCAGTGATTGATTGAGAAAAGGGATGAAAATAGGGAGCGGGCAGGGAAGATGCAGGGATGCTGAAGCCTGTTGCGCCCTCCGCTTTACTGGCAGTCAGAGAGCTGGCATCCTTTCCTCCAGATTGTCACAGAGGGCGCTGGATCGGATCTGCTCCTGCAGAATCCTGTTCATCCGCTAACACGATCTCATCAGTAGACCAGAAAACTATCCCAATAACTTCACCGCTCCGAGTATCTTTATATACGAAAGAGTTTTTCTTCCAGCTAATAAATAGTAAAGGATTAAAAATAGTAATTTCTAATCCAATCAGAAAATTAACTGATATTATCTAATGCTTATTAAGAAAAACTTATAACAGGTCTGTTTTTTAGTTTAAAAATATATAAAAAATAACAACACTTTTTAAATTAAAATATAAGTAACTCTTCTAATTCAGATGTAAAAAGTCAAATTATTATTTTATATTATTATTTACCTAGTAATTAATAATTATCAAATTAATCACTAACTTCCATTTCAGAAATTTTTAAAATGAAAACACCTATAAATATTATTTTTTTGAATGAATTTCAAAATGGAAAATATATAGCAAAATATTATGATTTTAAAATTTTAAAATTAATCTTCCGTGATATTATTTTTTAACTTATTTCAGAGTATCTATATCTATCTATCTATCTATCTATATATCTATCTATCTANTTAAAGTTATATATATACAAATATCACGATTAGCGTTCTACTCCCATGCTTTTAACATCAATCAAAATTTTAAAAAAATGAGTGGCATTTTATACAATATAGATCTTTTTAAGTATTGCTTAACCTAGTTTTAAAACATTCATTGTACAAGTTAATTTTAGAAACACATTACCTGCTTTAGAAATATTTCATTTAAATAACAATTTTATTTGATTTTTTAAATGTTACTATCAAAGCTATTCCAAATCAGGTTATTGAATGCAAATAAAATCACAAAAGATTTAAAAAGAAAAAAAGATAATGAAGCTCTTTATTCTTTTTCAATCAATAGAAACTATTTTTCAAAGAGTTTAAATTTTGTATACCGATTCTCATTACAGAAAATCGTGAAGCGCTTCTTTAGTGATACTTATTAATGCTTTTTTTATTAAATAATAAAGTTACTCAATATTTTGTGATATTGTTTTAGGTAAAGTAACAGTTTTGCGATGTCAGTAAGTTTCAGTGTAACTAAAGGTGTGTTTTTACTTAATAATTATTAAATGTTATTTTGTATGTGATCTTTTAGGGGAATTGGAAATAACATTTTCCCTGACAGCTCATATTTAACAATTGAATTAGCGTTGAGAAACTCTGTATTTCTAACTTTCAAGTTTCATATAATCAATTAACCATTTTTTTCTTCAAGTTTTAAAATCTTTCTCACACATTTCTTCTTCCTTAACACTTTTTAGACTATGTATATTGTTCAAAAATAAATATGAGCTGCTTCAATTTTCAAATTCGACTATTATTAGTTTCAGATCTATTATGACACACATTTTGCTGTGTATAAGTGCATAATGATGAATTTCTTCTGATTTCATAATCTGCAGTCAATCATAGAAAAAACCACTAGTTTTTTTAAAATTCGACCAATCCCTTCAATTTTTCATTTCTGGAATGAAACTATCTTTGCAAAGTGGAATTTTTTCATATTTAGTGCTAATATTCTCTATTTGAGTACTTAAACACAGCCGTAATTATCTAATATCTGTTTCTAATGCAACTATTTCTTATTAACTCTTTCTCATTCATTTTAGGCTTGTGCAAATACCACTTCAAAATGAATAAACGATTAAAAGTTTTTGCATCTGAGTAAATAGGAACAGATTTTAACAATGCCTTTTACTGAAACTTGATAAGTAATTAGTTTCGTTGTTTCGTTATTGAGTTTCTGAGCGAGAACAAAAAATTTCTAAGCTGTAAAAAATATCTTTTGCAACGACAAATTCGAAGGATTGCGACCACTAGTGTTACAGTGAAGTATTTTTCTCGTACATTATCATATTGAGCTAGTAATTTGGAAATTTAAATACAAGTCGTAATTTTTTGTGGAACATATGATTAAGAAATTTAAATAAATAAATGAATAAATAACATATTATTAATATCTGCGACTATAAATACATAATAAATTAATGATTCTAAATAAAATATACAGTTCATTATTGCTATGTTTTATTTAATTTTATATCCCATTTTTCAAGCTTTTGCTGATGAAAATTTTCACAACCTAAAAACTATTATATCGAAAGTAGAGAGTCTTATATCAAGAATATCACTAGATATGAAATAATATTTTTTGGTTTTTGCGTCATAATACGTAATCATTACAAATTAGTCGAACAAGTATTATTGCATTACATATTGGGTTTTTGTATAATATATTTTTAGAAATTTCGTCAAAAATGAAGAAATATGCACCCATTAATTATTATTTAATCAAGAAAAGAAAAACAATGTCGAAATATGATAATTCCTCAGAGTTTAAGGTGGTAGACTGAATAAGTGTCCTTACATTATGAAGCTTAGGGGTACTTTGAATGACCTTTGAAACCCATTCTGTTTCCTCGATCAATCAAACAGGTTTCGGGATTTATAGTCTCACCTTCCTCAGTAGTGATTTGTCAAATAAATTTTTTATTTTTGTTTTTTTTTATTTTTTAAATGCTAATTTGTGATAGCATACTTTTGAGGCAAAAGTATGCGCAAATAGGCATACTTTTTAAAATAATTTCAGACAAGGATTTTAATTATATACATTAAAGGTGTTCATGATTGAACACCCGTTATAATTTATTCAGTAAGTGCTATTGTTTGTTACAAGTATAACACTCATCATTGTCGCAAGTTACACCTATTTTTAAATTTTTCCAACATTTATGTCATTTTTCGTTTTTAACAGAAACTATTTGAATCATTAAGCGTTTCTCCATGTGTTGAAAATTTTCAACAATCCACTTAGATTTATTTGCACTTTTTTTTAATGGTGTGATCAATGAAAATAATTTTGGAGTTCAAACAGACACGTTAAAAATTTTTTTTAATTTTTGAAATGTTAACAATGATTTTTGATTTACATTTTCCACGTTTTTTTTTAAAAATTCCAAAATTTAAAGTTTTTGAAGCTTTTTTAAACTAATTGTTCCATAGGACAATAGTTCTGGTGGAAAAAACAATTTTCTTTTTAATGAAAATTTGCTTTCTGATCTTTTATATTAAAAAATGCTGAATGTGAAATTGAAAAAAAGTTCATTGACTTTTTCAGGACAAAAACATGGCTGTTTCTTTATTGACTTACCCCAATGAAATTATATAAATATTAGAAACTTTCTTGTAGAAACGTTTATTCATATTGAGTTGATCATGGTAAAGAAAGTAATTTGAAATGCCCACATATATATATAAATATCTAAGAATTCAAAGTTGCAACAATCTGTTCATTTATTTAGAAACAAAATGTCAAAACAATAAAATTATTCTGTGCAAAAATTATAATAAAAGCTGAAAAATAATGAGCATTTTCAGTTGAGCACATTTAATTACAGACAAGAAAGGTACTCTTAGTGTCACTGTTAGTGTTATTTTCTTTTTACATTTAACTTTTTTCATTTTAAAATAATCTGCTTAAAAGATTTTTCCAATCTCGAAGTGGTTACAAGAGCTTAAATTGTTGAAAACATAAGTTTGAGTAAAATTATTTGTCAGGAATGACAGAAATTTCACAGAAAATGAGACAAATAATGAAGTCAGAAAGGATCACGATACTTATTAAAATATTATTTAAAAACTATTTCTCTAAAGAAATGAACGTTTCTCTAATGAGTTCGAATTTAGCTAATAATTTATTACAGAAAATACTTGTGAAATACAGAATTATGCTGGAACTTTAGAATCTATTATTCAAACAAACTGAATTTTTATTCAAATTTTTGAATTTAAGCTTTCAAATGTAGTCTTTAAAAATGCAAACAATAAAGTTTCTGATTTGGGAGAAAAGTCTGAAATATAAAATAATTTTTTAGCTAACAATGCTTTTCGTCTGAATAATGAATTAAACTTGGTGACGTATTTAAAATAAAAATTGCAGTTCCCCTTTTTTTTTTAAATTTATAACTTAATGATTCTATGAAAGAAAAAACAATGTAAAAGCTATCTTTAGAAGAGTTCAGTCCGATTGGCTTCGTTTTCCTGAATGATCAACAAAAACTTCAGTTAATAAACTGATTAAAGTAGAGAAAAGTAAATTTAGACTCAACGTAGT